GCCTTTTATAACTGAGTAACTATGACGAGTACCTATCTTTTATGCCTGACTGTTACCAGGACACTTTGCGTAGCTTGTTAAGCAAGAGTTGGCTAGTAACATTGCCTTCGTAATTTCTACTGTTAACAAATATCTACTTTGTATACGGTTACCCAAGTAGCAGAAACTTACCAAAGTTTTCTCATGTAATTCCAGATATGTGCATGGTTTAATCAGAATTCTCAGCAGTGTGAAACAAGTCTCTAACATGAAAAAAATTACTGCAATTCCAAAGCTTATTCCTGCTTCTGTAGACAGAATTTGCAAGCCTTGCAGGCTGCCAGTATAACCCCTGGGATTTGAAACCGAGCAGGGTAAGATTGAGTTTTTTAATGTTGCCACTGCACCGCACTTCTATAGGTGCCAAATGGTTACAGGTCAGATGTGTCCTGATGCTCATTGATGAGAATTATGTAAGGACGTTAGGGAGATAAGGTTATATGAAATTTAGGGTTATCGTGGAGTCTGCACATTTAACAATGGGTCAGTCCATCTCTTTAAACAATTAAGAGTGACTTAAGTGTTAATTCAAGATTCTTGGATAATTTTCAATCATACTTACTAGGTACACACCACTTATAAATATAATATACCTGCTTCATTAAAAGCAATGCAACTACAAATGCGATTTATCACATCTTTTCTGTGGCACAGGCATTCGCGTGTAGTCACTTTGTAGATGCGTGTACATTGTGTATGTGCAATACTCAATAGTTGGTTGACAATTTTAGGTCCGAGATCAGACTTCAGCTTATTCAAGTCTTCTCGTATTCATTAGCTCTTCATGTTCCATTTCTTTCTTTCTTTTTCTCTCTCTCTCTCTTTCTAGGGAACCCACAAATACGGGTCACCTCTGCACTTTCTTATCGAATAATACCTATGTTATTTTAAGTAGGAGTAATAAAATCAATGAAAATAAGGAGTTTACGTCTAGCGGACGTAAATTATCAGGATGAAGAGTTAAAAGAGTAAAAATAAATGTTAGTTGAGAAGAATTATCCATTAAGAATGATTAGTTACACTTTCAAAATACTAAGAAACAAGGTTTAAGGAACCCATTATTTGGGACAAAATACAACTCTTCTTCCAGGTTTCTAATGCTACCATCCTGCAAGCTTTAAAGAAGGCTAGGTGAATTTGTGAGGAAATGGAGCGTCAAGACAATGCATAAAGAAAAACTAACGCTTTCATTGGTTATGCAGTCTTTTAGAGAATCTTCAGACGCTCTCGGCACATCATGTTGTTGTTGTCTCAGCATTTTGCCGGATATGGGGACTTCACAACTAAGAGGAAAATTAGGGATTCGATTTAAATTAACAAAACAAGGAACGTCCAAAATAAGAGAATTGAGTGTAGGGAACAAAGTAAGGACTATCTCTGACTGCTAAAGAAAATTAGAAAGAGAGAGAGAGAGGGAGAAGGAAATGGCACAACAAGAGCCGTGTAATAAAAACAGATGATTTGACTAAGCGGAAGTCTGGTTTCTGATCTAAAATTGTTGACCAACTTATGAGTATTGCACATACACAATCCACTCGTATCCAAGAGGCTATAACAAGCGTCAACATGAATGTTCATTTAAAGCCAATCGACAGCTGGTCAAGAAGAAGCCACCGTTATCTTTTCGTAATATAAACCTTAAAATCTCTTCAACAAACGCTTTCACGCGAAATGGAAGTATGCTCAACAGCTTTAATATGTTCTAGGATTACAGGATCATACAAAAATTCATTTACATAAGCAAAAGTTGTGATCACATCCGCTCCCCTTCATTCACATACAGGGATGTAGGACAAGCATAAAGCATTGTTAAGGGGACTTTCCTTTCGTATGAAAGGTCGATATCACTAGAAGAGGACGGATGAATCCGGTTATACTGCAACAGATTGGCTATCACACAACGTTCAAGCTGGTTGAGCCAAAGTGAGAAACAATCTAAACTTTCCTTACCATGAGGCCAGATGACAAAATAATCATACATGTATATAACCGGCAATTTGGGGGTTAGTATTATTAATAAACTTATTAACCTACCCATGAGTACCACATATTTTACCTTCGATGGTAAGTTATACTAGCAAACACAAGGACTAGCGATGGGATCTTGCCTGGTTCCCAGCTTGACGAACAATTATAAGGCAAGATTGGAGGACCACTTCCTGCAAGAGGCAATACTAAAGCTCAAATTGTTGGTTAGATATATGGATGACTATTTTGTCATCTGGCCTCATGGTAAGGACATTTTAGATAGTTTCCTACTTTTACTCAACCAGTGTGAAAGGAACATTAGGTTCAACAATGGAAATGGAAGAGAATAAGTCTGTATCTTTTCTGGATAAGTTAGAAAGAGATGTTTATAGGAAGCCAACATATGTTGACTCTGCTTAATTTTTTTTCTAATCATAGTTACAAGACTAAAGTTTGAATTTTGAAGTCAATGATTCTTAGAGGCATGAGGCTAGCGAATAGCAAACATTTGACTTTAGAGTTGCAACGACTGACAAACATATTCCTGGAAAATAATTATCCTTTAGGCCTTATTGAGAATAATATCTCTATAGTGAGGAATAAATTTTCATACGGGAATCATTTAGTCAAAGATCAGACCTTTTGCCATGTCCTAATTTTGCCGTCATACCTTCTCTCAAGAAGATAGGCGAATTAGTAAGAAAGTTAGGGAAAAAACAGTCTGCCAAAAAACTCTCACACTTTCTTCTGCTATGCCATCTTTAGAGAGAAATTTGACCCATTATCGCGATCCGGCTGCTACAAGATTGTTTGCTCATATGGTCGAGGTTATGTTGGTGAGACATGCCGACCTATTCGACAAAGATTGGGAGAACACAAAAATGCTTGTAAAGGAAGCTGGGTCCAGCAGCCATAAGTGGCCGAACACATGGTAGAAACTGGACTTAAGTATGGTACGTCTGTGGTTAGAAGAAAAATAAGAGAGGCTTTTGAAATTAATAGCTTAGGCTATAGGTTGAATGTGAGCAACAGAGGTAGAAAGTTGAGTAGGAACAACTTGGAGGGGAGAGAGGGTGTTGATCCGCCGTCAAAAAGAAGGCGACTCAATTTGTTTGCTCGGTGATGGTTCTAGATGAACCCACACTCGTCCAACATGTTAGATTAAGCTCATCAACCAAACCAGACGTGCCCTACTCATGCCTTTCCTTGTGGGGGTTAAACGTAAATGACCCTAGACTGAGAGGTTAGGACAAGTGGTTTCATAACTTGACTTACATGCTTACAAGCTCATATATCATTATCTCAACCATACTTGTTTACGGACTTAAACAGTCTGTGTCAGGACTTTCTATTGGCTCATTAGGCCTTGATGATCAGAGCCTGACATTCGTCTTTTTGATCACTCTGATTTAGGACCGGTATTGCATATAGACGCTTATACACACGCATAGACACATGCACATACTTGAGCAAAAGTAGCACGACCAGTATGAAAGATAATTAACCAAACCACTCCATATCGATCTATCTAGGTGTTTAATTTTCTTTTGGCTTAATTGAGTATATATATAAGAAGAAAGATAGAGCCGGATACTGTTCTTGGCCTAGTGTTAACGTGAGACTTTACAAGAACGAAACCCAGCTTTGATGATGCCCATCATATGATGGACGAAAGATCAGCACGTTTTCACCCGGAACGAAGAAGGAAATCTCGTGGACTGCATCAACATGTACATCGTATAAAAGCCAAACGGCTGCAGTACAGCGAGATTCATCCGTCCTCATCTGGTGAGATCGACAAACGAATCTCTTCTTCATGTACTTTCATACGAAGGGAAAGTCCTCCCAACAATGTTATCTCAAGAGATTCATCAAAACCAAGTTCCTCTTCGTAATTAAATGTGTTATGTTGTGCCGTTTTGAGCGGTTTTTATGATAACTCTCTAAACCACGCGTTAGCTTTTAACCCCCCTCACCCCTCTTAAACCTTGTGCTGGAAAATAGACTGAATACATCTAAAAAACGGATTTACTGGTAATCATGAAACTCTTGTACATAAGAACAATAAGTAATGTGGTCGATTGTAATAACAAAAATACGTTTGCTTCATCGAAAATCCCGCTAAAGAATGTGATATAGGAAAAGGCCTGGACTTTCTTAAAATTGACACCTGTCCTGTCACCCAACTGCACTCGTGGCAATGTGGTAGAGCGGTTAACATGTCTAGCTCACATAGTGCACTGTCACGGCTCGACTTTCGCTGGGGGCGTTGAGAAGACCTAGGCAAAGTCGAAACTGCTGTCCATCATTGATGAGAACAACTTTTGGGAAAACAGGCCTCTGTGAAATTTAATAGAAATGTCAGCTCTACTCATATCATGGTGGGAAAATTCTACCACTAGTCCTTCATCCCACTAAATATAATTTGGTGAATATATATCATATAGTTTAGCTATAACCATAGTAACCTTTTGCTATTTATTAAGCGGTACCGTTGAAAATTGTCCTTATGTATTTTTGGAGACGCCAAAATCTCACAGTTGTCAGGACCTACATGTTTTGACTCGTTCCCTGATTATCACACTAAGTAGTTGTAATATTAGAAACTTGGATACTGTTTCAAGAAACCGAAAGATTCATTTTTTTGTGAATATTTTGCAGACTAAGACACTACTTCACTGTATTTTATTTAATAAAGAGTAAATAGGACCTAAGAATCTCAGAGTGAAAATCATTTACCTAATTTAAACCGAAAGATTAGAACTAAACAAAAACGGTAATACTATCTAAGCATTATAAAATCATAGATATTTATTATGCATAAAAAAGAAGACTCAAAAGGCTTTCTGACTTCTTAGAGTTATCTGAAATATATTCAGCAAATTTTTTATTAGTTCCAAAACAAACTAGTTTTATTTAATTCCAAAAAAGTGAAAATATGACCGGGCCTTTGTCCAACTGATCTCAAATTAAAGACTAACATAAGTAGACTTCTACATTCTCAAGTCGATCCAGGCGTTGGTGTTGTTTGCCTCTGAAGGGATTGAGAGACAGGCTCCATGGCTGATCTGAGTTTCGCGCTGATCAAAAAGGCTTTGACTCAGCATATCTGCATTCGGAGGATTAGCCAGATTCAGATTTGGTCTGCTGGCCGCTTGGAGATTGCAATCCAGCTCTTGTCGCATGCGCTTGTCCGGATGAGATAATCGGCCTAGCGATAAGCAGTGCTTTCTGCCTACCAATCCATAAGTAAGCCACGGTTGGCCGTTAGTGTAAGCGTCCATATCTCCTGGTGTGGTTCAGAGCACGAATTGAGCCTATTAAGTTGATGTACAGAAAGAACTGGGCAGGCGGTTTGACAAAACATTCGACCTAACCTCTTCGAGCAAAATGAATATTTATTTCAACATGACAAAAATGTCCAAATGAAGCAGATACTTTTCCTCAAACAAGTTCAGTACGAAAGTTAGGTTTAAAAAGGGAGATCGATATTTGGGCGGAATTTTTACGATTCACATACACATGTGTTGATACTATATAAGATATATTCAAATATAAACAGTAGCTATTAAATTATAAATGTCAAGAAGTTGTTTGACCTTGTTTTCGCAACTTGGTAGTATTGCTTTGAAGACCTAGAGGAGCGCGCCTAGCCCGGAGTCCATAGTATGCACGATAATTTCCAGAGTCGGATCGTGATCTGGTACATTCCTATAAGTTTCGCCGGCATCGTCAGTGAGTCTTGCCAAACTTAACACGACACTAAAATTCGTGAAAGAGACAAGTAAAGCCGATCCTTTGACCAATTATCTGCTAAAAAATCGTGGTATCTCTACTTCCCCCCTAGACTAATCACCAATCCTACATCCTCGTATCACACCTTCACTATCACAATTTTCTCTTGATTATGTAAATGCACTATGGTGTGCTCTTTTGAACTGCTGTCATGACAACTCTCCACTCCACGCTGAATTCCTCACCCCCTTCATCTTGTGCTGGGAATATGGATCAGAGTGTGCCATATTGTTACGCAGTCCTCCTTTCCTAGGTCTTATCAGAGTTTCCATCTTGCCTCGTAGGATCCGTCGGCTATCTCCCTCGTTAAAGTTGTTCACTCGACCCTTGCTACCTCATCTATGCTACACGAGGCGTTATTTCCTACAATCTGTATCTGGGATACTAACTCGAGACTAAAGCGATTGTCAAGCCTTTGCTTCATGAACCACGTCTACTAGCAGCCAACTAACTCTAGTATTCGCTGCGTCTATCCTGTTTCTATCCGTAACACCAAGTCTAT